TCTAACAGAACCGGTTGTGAAAACAGTATGACACTTTTGTGCACACAGAACTCACATTGAGAGCAAACTTCTCTGTGTGGAAGTTTCATGAAGTGGCCAGGTGGAAGATGCTTGGCTGAGAGGCAAAACCCTCATGACTTTTTCTTACAGATGAGTGATTTAGGCTTACATTATTCAAATAACAAGCTTCAGTTGTGCAGTTGATATTAACTCTGTGATCAGTTTTAAAAATCAGTTGGTAAATATAGCCATGCATTGTTTTTTGATGGGATGCATTCTGAGAAAACGATCATCAGGGTGTTTTTATCAGCATGAATAAATATCATATCATATTATGCATGTAAAACTAGACAAGAGAGGGCAATTGCTCAATGCAAGATCCGTGCTGTGTGATCATGTGTGAGGATGGTGATAATGATGATGACATGGCATGACACGATGTTTTACAGTAAACTCTTTTAATGTAGAAAGAGTACACCCTAAATTGACAATAAAAATTACAGAGTAGTAAATACCTGAACTGTTGTTCTGATCGTTTATTATCATTAGTAAGTGCTAACTCATTATACGTTCATGTGACTGACAGTGTAGTGCGCCTGCTCACACCAGGGTAGCTACAAATCCATTCCTAAGCAGTGCCTTGCAGCAGTACATTCTACAGCCGCAGAAGGTTAGAGAAACTTCTTCACATCATTACAATCTTATGGGAGCACCGTCCTATGCATGGGTGTCACTGATGAAAATATCGTTATGTGGCACAGGACTGTATAATAAAGCTGTGTTTTCCTCATAACAAAATGGATAGAAGAGTCATTAAATAATATGTACTGAAAGAGTATTTCATGGAGTAACATTGTTGGTGGTATGAGGTAAAAGATATAGAAGAGAAATGCCTGCTCTGTGTAACTGATAAGCATTGCTATCATCACTCCTGTATTTCCTCCAATTACGGTCCATGCTGATATCCTGAAGAACATGGAAACCCACTCTGTATTAGTAAAACAAGTTACTAGTTTAAGAATACTACACTTTGCTGACTACCTCATACAACATTTGAACTGTCCATATTTTTGTTGTGACACAAATCTCTACCATTTAAATCATATATTTATCTGAGGAGCATAGCACCATCATAGGATTTAAACCTTCTAAAATTCATGTTTAATTTAAATCCTTAAGAGTTAGCTTATGAAGAGCGATTCTCAAATCATGCAACATTAACTTGATTTTAGTTTGGAACCCAAACTCCAGAAACCTGAAAAGTACTAATAAACGACTTAAATTAACATGAATTCACCTATAAATATGTTTTCAGACATGAATTTTATTTTGTGGTTTTGGGGACAATGATACAGAATTTTGACTTCTGTTTTCACCATATTTGAAAATACGAATATCCTTAAATTTAGAGGGCTCTCCTATTAACTTCCACAGCTGTAGGCTGCCACCTAGAGGCTTACACGAACACTTTGGAAATCTATTTCTATTTTTTTTTTAATTTTTTTATTTTAATTTACCTTAATTTATTTTGTAGAAGATGCTGTCTTTTTTCCATTGAATGGATTTGGCTTCTTTGTCAAATATTGAGTATTCATAGGTGTGTGGGTTTATTTCTGGGTCTTCTATGCGATTCCATTGATCCTCCTTTCTGTTTCTATGCCAATACCATGCAGTTTTTATTACTGTTGCCCTGTAGTACAGCTTGAGATCGGGAATGGAGATACCTCCAGATGATCTGTTGTTGTACAGGATCGTTTTGGAGATTCTGGGTGTTTTGTTTCTCCATATGAAGCTGAGAATCTTTTTTTCAAGGTCTGTAAAGAATTGAGTTGATATTTTGATGGGAATTGCATTGAATCTGTAGATTGCTTTTGGCAGGATGGCCATTTTCACAATGTTAATCCTACCAATCCATGAGCACAGGAGATCTTTCCATCTTCTGAGATCTTCTTCAATTTCTTTCTTCAAAGACTTGAAGTTTTTCTCAAACAGGTCTTTCACTTGCTTGGTTAGAGTCACACCAAGGTACTTTATGTTATTAGTGGCTATTGTGAAGGGTGTTGTTTCCCTAATTTCTTTCATGGAATACTACTCAGCAATCAAAAAGGAGGAAATCATGAAATTTGCAGGCAAGTGGTGGGATCTAGAAAAGATCATTCTGAGTGAAGTATCCCAGAAGGAGAAAGACAAACTTGGTATATACTCACTTATATAGACCTACAAGATATGATAAACATAATGAAATCTACACACCTAAAGAAGATAATCAAAAAAGTGGACACAGGCGAAGGTGATTAATCCTCATTTAGAAAGACAAATGGGATGTGCATTGATCTTATGACAGGAGTCTACCACAAAAGGCATCTGAAAGACTCTACCTAGCAGTGTTTCAAAGCAGACACTAAGACTCATAACCAAACCCTTGGTAGAGTGCAGGGAATCATATGAAAGAAGGGAAGTTAGTATGATATGGAAAGGATAGGAGCTCTACAAGGACCAAACATATCTGGGCACAGGGTCTTTTCTGAGACTGACACTCAACCAAGGACCATCTATGGATATAACCTAGAACTTCTGCTCGGATGTGGCCAGTGGTAGCTCAGTAACCAAGTAGTTTTCCAAAGTAAGGGGAACACTGACTACTTCTAACAGGATCTCAAGGGCAGGCTGTTTGACACCCCCCCCCCGGGGAGGAGCAGTCCTATTAGGCCACAGAGGAGGACTTTGCAGCCAGCCCTGAAGATACCTGATAAAACAGGGTCAGATGAAAGGGGAGGAGGTCCTCCCCTATCAGTGGACTTGGAAAGGGGCTGGGAGGAGACCAGGGAGGGAGTGTGGGGTTGGGGAGGGAATGAAGGAGCGGGATACAGCTGGGACACAGAGTTAACAAAATGTAACTAAAAAGAAAAAATAATAAAAAAATAATAAAAAAAATATTTTGTAATTATTTATTTTCTTTTTTTTTCTGCAAGTCTTCCCATTTGTTGTTTCTTGCTATTTTTCCAATTCATAGCCCCTTTCTTCAGTCATTGGTGTGTGTGTGCGTGTGTGTGTGTGTGTGTGTGTGTGTGTGTGTGTGTCCTGCTCAGCCTGCTTAATGCTACTTTCACGTATATTTTAAGGGCTGACCACTTGATATTTGATAACCACTTGGTACACTTTTTCCTAAGGAGGAATATTTTCCCACAGTCTTTGTGTGTGGTTGTATGAGAAGGTGTCCATGGAGGCCGGAGGTGATGGAAGCCCCAGCAACCGGAGTTACATTTGTTGAGAGCTGTTCAGTGTGGTTGCTGGGGACCAAAACATCTATCCTATGGAAGAACAGTATGAGGCCTTTGCCTCTGAGCATCTCTTTCCAGCCACATGAATCAATCACTTTCTAATGGGTATCTGAAACTAACCTAACTTTAATAGTCTTACGTATCTTTAAAGTTCATCATTTTCTCATTTTACCCCAAAGGGTTTATTAAATAGAACAACAAATAAGTCAGAATATTAAACATTGACAGTTCATGTCAGTTTTCATATCTTACTTTATACAAGTGCCTAAATTTTATCAGTTGGTATTTGAATACTGTGTGAATTAATAGAAGCCAGTATTTTTCATGATAACATTAGTTTTCAATATGGCCACCCTATGGTACAACATGCTCTATCATATAATCCCTCAGTCTGTGTACAATGAGGAGATGGCTGCTGAATGCTTTGGTGAAATCTTATCATTAATACCTCATAACCCATATCATCAGTACTAAGTTCATTACAGTCTGCATCATCTGGATATAGGATATCTAACAGCCCAGCAATTATCTATCAAACTAAGAACCACAAAGGAGGCCAGTATCAGACTTTTCCTCTTCAGTCCTGTGTTGAAGCAGCTACCAATTCAGCACAGTATAAATGAAGCTTCCAGGAGGCCTTCCGTATGTATTGTCTGCAAGGGACATCTCATCACAGACAAACGTAACCATCCTACTTTTCATGCACAAGCTGATGATGCCAGCAGAGGGAGCATGTCTGCCACCATCTCAAAGTAGAAGACCGAGTCCCAAGATCAGTCACCCAACTGATACATCAATATCTGATCCTTATGCCAGTCAAGATCTCCCATTTGGAAAGTCGTTAGTTTAGACTGAGTCTTTTTTCAATTCCGTTCAACTATACAATTATTTTACCACAAAAGATATATTGATTATTTTGAAATGAACTTTTAATTTACCCTCAAACCTTAAGAGAATTTCCAGTAAGTTGATTAGTAATATTCTTCTCATCCTTTATTCCTTCATTAACTTTCATGTTACATTGTCAAGCAAGTAAGTGATTTGTTTATTTGATCATTGACCTTCTCAGGAGGTCAATTGCAAGTAAATATTGTTTCTTTGATTTGTTCATAACAAGTATGTTACAGAGTTCATATAATTGTTGTAGTCACAGGAAACAGTAGTTCTCATGCTGCTCTTGTTAGCTATTTAGGAAGAAAATTAAGCTGTATACTAGTTTCTCTGTTTCCTCAACTTCTCCAAAGTGAAATTCTGAGCAGCCTGTTGCTGCCTCTGGTTGCTGGTATTTTATGTGATCATTTCTCACATTCTATTTTTAAAATCGCTAGTGTTTTTCTGTACATTAAAAATAAGTAGAGTTTTTTTTTAACATTTTATTTTATTCCTTATCTGGGACTTGAAGAATAGAGATGTACTAAGATGAGAGAAGCTAATGAAATGAAGGAAAGGGTTGCTTCAAGTTCTATTACCCACGAGTACTTTGGATGAGCAAATCAAAATTTTGGCAACAGAAAACTTGTAGAAAATAAATGCTTGCATGTTGGCAGAGTCCATCTGGGCTCGTGTGAAGAGCGAAGCTGGGAAAGAAACAAACGCTTCAGATTATTCTGTGTGATGGTTCAGGTCCTTCTGATTTGCAAGGCCTCTTTTACATTTATGTGTCCCTAACAACGGCCTACAGACGACAACGTCCATTTCAGCCCACTGCGTCTTTCCGTTTTAGATACCAGTGTGGAAAGCAATCCAGTCCCGGAGGGCGGTCACTCTAGTGTAAACACCAGGCTTATTGGGTTGGCCACATTCATCTCCCCAGCTCACCACTCCAGCAAGGTACCAGATATCCCTAACATCTGAAGCAACCAGAGGTCCTCCAGAGTCGCCCTAAGGAAAAAGGGAGAGATTGCTAATTTATAATTCAGTTTACCAAGGAAGAGCTTGTTATTTACCCAAGATAAACTATAACAAATGTGATGATTTTCAAGTCTTCAGCTACCCACAAAAAGACGTTCTGCTGATGGGAGAATTGTTTGGGTCTCAGGTTTCAGTACACAGGCCTAAAGCTTCATTTCGATAAAGACTGAGCAGGACTGAGGCCTCAGCAGTTGACAAGATCGCGCCTTCTTCAGGTTGCCTCCTTATTAATATGACCTAACCCACAAGAAAGCAGTGAATCATGTTTTACTGAAAAGGAACACAGTCGCGAGCTTTAGAAATCCGCTGAGACTTTAACGTTGGAGGCTGGAGAAATGACTCAACAACTAGGAGTATGCAGTGCTCTTCCGAGGACCCGAGTTTGGCTCCTCAGTACTCAGCCCACTTGCTCACAAATGTCTATGCCCCCAGCTCCACAAAGATTCAGCACTTCTGGCCTCCACAAGTGCCCACACTCATGTGCACATACAGACACACATACACACTTAGTAAAAAATAATAATAATAAATATTTAAAATAGCATTTTACAACCCTGCTGAGTTTGAGATGGCAATTATGGTTTCATCTCACACTAACAACCTAAGACATGGAAATGGAAATGACTTAGAAGTGGATGGAAATTTGAGATTAAATTTGGACATGAGTTTAATTTGGAAGGTGGGGATTTGGGGAAGTCATTAAAGCAATTTCAGTTAATATTTTAAAAAAATGGTTTGTGGAAGCCCACTGGCTGCTCAGTCTCCAAGTGGGCTCCCTAGTAAGGGCAACAGAGACTGTCTCTGACATTAACTCAGTGGCAGGCTCTTTGATCACCTCCCCCTGGGGGTTGCAGCCTTGCCAGGCCATAAAGGAAGATGATGCAGCCAGTGCTGATGTGGCCTGATAGGCTAGGGTCAGATTGAAGGAGAAGAGGTCCTCCCCTATCAGGGGACTAGGAAGAGGGCATAAGAGGAGAGGAGGGAGGAAGGATGGAACTGGGAGGAGACAAGGAAGGGGGCTGCAGCAGTGATGCAAAGTGAATAAATTATAATAAATAAATATATAAATAAAATTAATTTTTTTAGAAGAGATGATTTGTTTGAATGGGAAGATAGATAGCACAGAGAGTTTCCATAGGATACCTGAATCTTGAATACTCAGATATAGAGAATGCAGGTGTGAAACCAAAGGAATCATGGGACCAGAAAAAAAAATCACACTTTAGAAAAGAGGAATTTGCTAAATAACACTGAGATAAGTAGGTTATTAGTCATTTTATAAACTGTTCAGAGCCTTACAATGGAGAAAATTGAGAGACAACTGCATCTCATATTGAAGTGTGCACATTTGGCACTCAAGTGTCTCCCTGCTTTGTTCATGTTTCTGAATGATCACAAAAGTGCCTTGAGCATTGAATTTAGGCTAAAATATTTTAGTGAACGGAAACATTTGCGAATATGAAGTCAGTAAGTGCACCTTCAAATAATTCTTTCTTTACTTGATATCATCTTAGAAGTGTGATTCACAGAGTAACCCTTATTTGTTTCATGTACTACCCCAGGAGCAATAAAGGTAAGAGAGGAAATAAATATAAACATATAAATAAACATAAAGATAAACACAATGAAGTGAGTCTATTCTTGAGGCTTGGCCATGGGCCTGCAGAAAAGTCAGCCTTATGGGAGACCTTAATGCAGTGAATTGACCACAAGCTGAAATGGCTGGCCCATCGACAAAGGCGGAGAAGGTCTGTCTAGTATCGTCAGCGGTTAAAAGCAGCGGGGTGGCGAATGTGGAAACAGGTAGTGTTCCCATGAAATCGTAAGAAAAATATGAAAATCTTCAAAATAAGATCTTGACAATGATATGTAAGTCTTTGGACAGCTCTAGATTGAAGCATGGAGGATAAGTGGAATTTCAAAAAAAAAATATGGAATTTAGAAAACATGCTAGACTTAGTCATTTAAATTTTCCAAACAAACATTGTAGGAAGGATGTACGCAATGAATCATTCATCCTTTCCAATATTTTACCAGTGATGTCTTTGAAAAACAAAAAACAAAACAAACAAAAAAAGCAAACACTGGTATACCTTATAAAGAGATGCATTTTCATTCTTACTAAGACACGGACTTAGCAACACTAGGTGGCTTACACTGGGATGCAAGCTCTAGATTCAAAGAGATGTCTGTGCCTCAGACTAGGATGAAATTGAGTTATCTTATCTTCTCTGTTAACTTTGGCTAAAGCAATCAATCAACCATGGGTTTGAGGAATAAAACAAATATAATAAAACAAATATTCTGAAATGTAAGGTGAAGAAAGCAATTCCGGGCTCAGGGAGTAATACAGCAGTAAATTGCTTCACCTGATCTGGTTATCTGACGCTGAAGAAGTCGCCAGACTGTTAACCTGTGAACAGGTGCAATTAACAATTTAAATTTAAAAGTGTTAAGAAAAAACTCTTTTCTTTTTCCAAGCTGAGAGGTCACTCAGCACTTGCTGATGTAGGTCCTCATGCAGAAAACCGAGAAATGGATTTCTAAGTGTGGTTCACAGCCTCTTATAACTCCAGTTCCAAGAGATCCAATACCTTCTTCTGACCGCCATAAGCACCAGGACACATGTGGTGCATATAAAAGCAGGCAAATAACTCATACATATGTAATAAAATAAATAAATTTAAATCAAACAAAAAAATTTATAGTAAAAGAGTCAGAAATGGAGTAGCCAAGGAAGATAGAAATACCTAACAACCTGCCAAAATCAAGTAAGTAGACTGTGCTGGGTAGTTTTCTGTCAACTTGACACAAAACCAGATTTGGAGAGGAGGAACCACAATTGAGAAAATGCTTCTGTAGACCGGGTTGTAGGCAGACCGATAGGGCATTTTCTCAGTTAGTGATCATGGCAGAGGTCCAGGCCATTATGAGTGACTTGAATCAGAATCTACGAAGTCACCCAAGCTAGTAACAGAAATAAACAAAGCAGAAACAACAATGAGCAACCTGTGAGCCTCTGGGACCATAGCCAGAAAGGTAAAATGTGTGTCATTAAAGTCTCAGAAGAAGTGGAAGGGAAAGGAGGAACTCAGAAAAGAATTCAAAGAAGTCATGGTGGAAAATTTCAGAGGGCATAAGCCTATAGATTCAAAAGAACTGTGCAAACCCTGAGTTGAATAAAGCCAAGGAAATGCATGCTAAGACAGAGAATCAAAACTCTGTAAGGAAAGACTAAAGAAAATTCTTGATGACAAGAGAGAGAAGTCATAGAAAGAGTCATGGACAGGCAATTCTGGTGGCTGTAGAGTCTGTTCATGATGTAAGGACCCAAAGAGAACTGTCTGTCTCAGACTCTATATCTGGCATAATTATGTTTCAGAAATGATGTAGTAAAGGGTCTGTCAGACAGAAAAACAAAAGAAAAGATAACCTTGTGGCCAACAGACCTACAGTAAAAGTATGGTTACAGGAAGTTCCTAAAACAGAAAAGAAACCTTAAAAGAAAATAGACATGAAAATCTTTGAGTAGACAGACTTTTTTCTTCTCCACTTGAATACCTAGTTATGCTTAACAATGAAGGAAAACATTTACTACTGTAGCTATCCACAAAGAATAAATTCACATATTTATTTTTACTAATATTTGATTAAAAAGAATTGTAATGCTATTTAAAGAAAAGTACACTTTCTATTCTATACTTCACTTTAATGAATAAAACTTTAATACCACTGTGTATTTCCTATACATATATTTACATAAAAAATTAGAGAAATTACTGGATTTTTTTCTACAAAGAAATAGTCAAGAGTAGTAGCAGATAAACCAAATGGAATTCCAAAACAAGTGATCATGTGATTTTACTTAACATTCTAAAAACCACAGATTATAGAGATAGAGAAAAATAGAAATTGCCTGATATTAGAAATGGAAGAGGAAGCCAAGAGTTTATTACCCAAATGTTGCTTTTCAGGTGGCGTACGCTCCGTCTTGCCTGTAATGGCAATTCCATAAATCTATCTATGTATGGTAAAATACCATATACCTAGATGCATTTTCTGTTCCCCAGATTTTAATTATATTTCCCTATACTTTTATCATATCTATGTGAGTGTGGCCGCTGAAGGAAATTGGATAAGAAGTACACCGGCAGGTTGGCAAAAAGGCTCAGTGGATAAAAGTGTTTGCCATCAAGCCTGGTTCCCAGCGTTCAGTACCTGGAGCACGTATGTGGAAGAAGAGAACCCACTCCAGAAAGTACATCATGTTATCTGCATGTTCACATACCACACTCACACAAAATAAAATAGCATGTACCATAAGCTGCTTCAAAGAGTTCATGTGACTCTCCTGTGAAATCTATGCAGCTCCCGGTAAATCTGTAACTCTTTTGAAACAAAAGGAGAACAAGTCACTGTACAGTATACTAATTGGTAAGCCCATACCTGGCATGCATCTTTTTCTCCTTTTAGGTAGCCAGCACACAACATCCTAGGAGTGATGGCACCATTGTAAGCTTGAGGTTGATTGCAGGTTTGGGTATCTATGTAGTCCACCTGTACTTGCCGAAGGTGATTCTGGGTGAAACCTGAGGAAAGATAGTCATCGTTAGAAGCCTGAAAAAAAAAAAAAAAAAAAACCCTGCACTCATTATAAGATAAGATGGCATATAGGTGTGTGTGTGTGTGTTTTAAGAACAGTAATAATTTCTAACTAGTTTAAATACAACTTTCAGTGTCTAAAAATCTCAAATTGTTTGAGCTCCACAAGATTGTGTCTGGGATAAACTTCTGTATGATTACTTAATCTTCACAACTGGGTACATTATCGAACCTTAATTTCTCACATGGCTAATTGTCTAGTAAGAAATTGAGTAGCAAAAGCGTAGTGTGGCAGCACATGCCTGAAACCCAGTTCTGGAGAGACAGAGACAGGTGGATTCTGGAGGTTTGCTGACCACCATTCTAGTTGAAATGGCTAGCTCTATGTTCAGTAAGACATGCTATCAAAACTACAAGAGACAGCTCCTACTGGTGAGGATGTGGAATGAAAGGTACACTCCTTCATGGCTGGCAGGAGTAAAAATTTTCGCAGCCACTATGGAAATCAATATGGCCATTCCTCATAAAGCTGGGAATCAATATATCCAGCTATACCACTCTTGGGCATACCCAAAGGATGCTCCATCCTACACAAGGTCACTTGAGCAAATATGTTTCCTAGCAGCTTTATTTATAATAGCCAAAAACTCAACATAATCTAGATGTCCCTCAACCAAAGAATAGACAAACAAAATGTTTACTCAGGAGGCAGAGGCAGGCAGAGCTCTGTGAGTTTGAGGCCAACCTGGTCTAGAGAGTGAGTTCTAGGACATCCAAGGCTATACAGAGAAACCAACATAGGACAAACCCACTAAAATCTATGCATCTAAATAGGACAAACCCACTAAAATCTATGCATCTAAAAAAACCAAGCAAGAGAGAGGACCCTAACTAAAATGTTCAATCCCCACCTGAAACGCAAAAAGGATGGACATCAGAAGAAGAAAACAGGAAACAACCTAGAAACCTGCTACAGAGGGCCTCTGAAAGCCTCTGCCCTGCAGACTATCAAAGCAGATGCTGAGCCTGATGGCCAACTGTCGGGCAGAGTGAATGGAATTTTATGTAAGAAGTGGGAAATAGTAAGAGCTGAAGAGGACAGGAACTCCACAAGGAGAGCAACAAAACAAGAAAATTTGAACACAGGGAACTTCCCAGAGACTCATACTCCAACCAAGGACTATTCATGGAGATAACCTAGAACCCCTGCACAGATGTAGCCCATGGCAGTTCAGTGTCCAAGTGGGTTACCTAGTAATGGGAAGAGGGACTGCCTCTGACATAATCTGATTGGCCTGCTCGTTGATCACCTCCCCCTAAGGGGGGAGCAGCCCTACCAGGCCACAGAAGATGACAATGCAGCCACTTTTGACGAGAACTGATAGACTAAAATCAGAAAGGAGAGGAGAACCTCCCCTATCAGTGGACTTGGGGAGGGGCATGCATGCAAAAAAGGGAGGGAGGGTGGGATCGGGAGGGGAGGAGGGGCTTATGGGGGGATACAAAATGAATAAAGTGTACTAAATAAATAAATAAAATAAAATAAAGCGAAGAATGAAGGAAAAGGAGGAGGAGAGGAGATGAAGAAGAGAAGAAGAAGTGAAGAAGAGAGGCAGGGAGAAAGGGGGAAGGAAGAAAGGAAGGAAGGAAGGAAAAAATAAAATAAAATGTGGTACATTTCCATAACAGAGTATTAGTCAGATGTTAAAAATAATGACATTAACCTGCTGAGATGGTACACAAGACGTAATATCAGCAATGGAAGTACAGGCAGGCACATCTCTGTGCATTTGAGGCCAGCCTGGTCTACAAAGCAAGTCTAAGACAGCAAAGGCTACATAGAGAAACCTTATCTTGAAAAACAAAAAACAAAAAAGGAGGAAAAAACCCAATGAAACAGCATGAAAATGATATTTATGAAAATGAATGAAACTAGAAAGCATCACGCTGAATATGGTAGGCCAAACCTAGAAAGACAAATATGGTATGTACTCACTTATAAATGGATATTAGCTGTTAAGCAAAGAATAATCATTATACAATCCATAGACCCAGAGAGGCTAAGTAACAAGGAAGACTCGAGGGGGAAGCATAGATATCCCTAGGAAGAAGAAATAGACTTTGTGGGTGGACTAGCGGCACATCCTGGATGGGAACTGGAGGAAGCAGACATGGGGGAGTAGAAACAGAGGGGAAAGTACTGGTGGAAGTGACTGGAACTTGGTGTATAAACTCTTTGCAATGTAAGAGTAACTAGTGAAGACTTCTATAATAGGAGCTATGGAGCCTGAGCTGGCCATCGTCTATAACCAGGCAAGGCTTCCAGCAGTGGGACTGAGACATTAACCCAGTCACAAAACCTTCGATCTATAATCTGTCCTGCCTGCACGATGCGCAGGGGTGAGAGTGGCACAGAACTTATGGGAGTTGCCCATCAATGACTGGTCCAACTTGTGGTTCCTGCCATGATGGGGAGCCCACACGTGACACTGCCTGAATGGACAGGAACCAGAGGCTGGATCACCCAGAATCCAAGGATAGAAACAGTCAATGAAATGATTCCTAATGATATTTTGCTTTAGTCATAGATCGGTGAATAGCTTGATTTTCATCAGAGAGGCATCATCCAGCAATTGATGCAAGCAGATGCAAAACTCCACAGCCAAACACTAGGTGGAGCCAGGGAATCCTGTGGAAGAGGCAGGGAGGGATTGTTGGAACCAGAGGGGTCAAGACACTACAAGAACATGGTCTGCAGAATCAACTATGCAGGCCTCATAGGAACTCAAAGAGATGCTATGTGGATTTGAGCTAGGTCCTCTGCTAGTAATGTTGTTTAGTGTTCTCTGGGACTCCTAACAGTGATAGAGGGGTGTTTCTGACTCTTTCACCTGCTCTTGGGACACTTTTCCTCCTACTGGGTTTCCTCGTACCTCATCCAGTCTTGATAAAGGGTTTGTGCCTATTTTGTGATTTGTTATGCCATGGTCAGTTGATGTTCCTGGGAGGGATAATTTTTTTTAAGGGGAAATGAAGGAGGAGTGGATCTGGTGGAATGGGGAGGTGGTGGGAGGAATGGGAGAAGTGGAGGGAGTGGAACTGTCAGGGTGTAATGTATGAGAGAAGAATAAAAGAAAAAAGAAAACCTTCTGTTTCTAAATAAACAACTAAATAAAGAATAAGTTGGGGAAGAATGAGTATATATACACATCATGAACCAAGCATACAAACATACACACACACACACTACAGGTGCATACACTCATTAATAAAAAGAAATTCAGTGGTCAACAGGCATATATATCTGTTTCTTCACACTAACAATATCATTACAGTAACAGCAGCATGCATCTTCTAAGTGGCATAAAGCCTGCCTTAGCCTGAGTCCAAAAAACCAACCAACCAACATATTTTATATAGCTTTTGGTTCTCAATGCCTTGGAACTCCTAGTTTGGTGACTGTGACTCGATTTTCTCTTCAGATGCTCACCATCATTTTGCAATGCTCCAAATCCTGTCACAAACATCTTCTGCCCCGGCTGGAATTCATGATTTGCGTCAGGGAGACAAACCTTGTGCACTGCATTTGTGCAGGGGACGGGTCTAGAAAGCTCTACAAGTGCAATGTCATAGTCATGTGATGGGTATTTGTATTTTTCATGAACAATTATCCTCCGGAAGCCTGTTGTCAGTTTTGGAGGCTGTAATGTTGCCCCAAAGGAAGCGGTCCATCTGGATGAGTCCTTGTGCCTACCAAATAATAATAATAATAATAATAATAATAATAATAATAATAATAATAATAA